TGGGGAAGGCGCAGACGGCCGAGCTGCCCAGCCCACCCTTGTTCCTGGTGAGGACGGGCACAGCAAGGGCAAGATCAGGGCCTGGCCCTGCCAAACCCCCCATGCTGCCCTGGGTCCCCACCACTCACCACTGCGAGGTGAAGACACCGTAGAAGAGTGTCTCCCTCCAGCGCAGCTCACCCGGGGTGAGCACAAAGATGTCCTGCAGCACGTTGAAGGGGAACCCGTCCTCAGGGTGTGAGCAGAGCAGCTGTGCCTTCAGGAAGGTTGTCCAGCGCCGCTGCAGCACGCGCTCCCCGCCCTGGTCCCCCTGCGTGGCACAGCGGGTCAGGGGGCGATGCTGTGGTCACAGAGCACCCCACAGGGCACCCCACACGCTGAGAGAATGGGGGGTCCTGGTATGCAGGATGGCCCCACATCCCCCCACCCCAGCAGCGAGTTATGCCCCAGGCACAGCCCCCACACCCCCCTGCTGCCTCATGCCCACCTTGCACACACGTGCGATGCGGGAGACGATGGTGTTCTCAAAATAGTCAAACTCCTTCCCAGTCTCGCTGAAGAAGAAGTAGACCTTGTCGTCGTCACCCTCAGGGTTGCCGGCAGGGAGGCTCTCCCGCAGGTAGGCTGAGCCCACGAACGCTGGGTCTGGGGGCACGAACACCCTCAGCACTCTGGCCCCATTCCTTGCCTCCCTCGCTGCAGGGGAGAGAGACCCCGAGCAGCCGTGCCAGCCCTGGCCCTCACCCTCACCTTGCAGCCAGTTGAGGGAGTTCTCAGTCTTGAGGGCGATGCGGCTCTCCTGGCTGCGGGAGATGGTCGGCTCGTTGCCCTGGAAGTTGCTGACGGTCCCGGCGTAGAGCTCGCCGTCTGCCAAAGACACGTTCCTGCTGGGACCTGCCACGCACTGCCAGCACGGCCCTGCGTCCCACTGGGGCCGAGATAGCCTGGCCTTGGCACGGCTTGGCCGGGCAGACGCAGGGACAGGAGGCACGGGGAGGAGGGCAAAGGTCCCAGGGCGCTGCAGGGAGGGCGAGGGCTCCGGGGGCCACAGGAGGAAGGGCGAGGGTCCCAGGGTGTCGTGCCTTACCGACCATGACAGCTGTGGAGCGGTACTCAGGGTCAAAGGGGCAGCGTCCCTTCCCGTCCTCCAGCACCACCTTCCCCGACGCGTCCCGCTCCAGGCTGAAGTGCTGCACGTTCTGCAGCAGGAGGAGGCTGTGAGCCAGCAGCACTTGTCCCAGTGCCAGGGACCCCAGTGCAGGGCCCTGACGGCACGGGGGGACCTGCGGGGGACCCTGTTCCTGTACTCACAATGTAGGCACAGGCCGGGCTGAAGGCGCAGGTCCCACAGGTGTACAGGTGGGTGCTGTTCAGCTGCAGCAGCAGCTTGATGTAGTTGTGACAGTCCCTCTGTGGGAGTCAGAGGACCCAGCTCAGCCCTTGGCTCAGCTCTCACCCACACCCACCCCGCACAGGGCACTGCCCGTACCCACCACTGCCCCCGATGCCTGCTGGCAGCGGGGCTCACCTGGGGGTCCTTGCCCTTGAACACACACTGCCTCTTCTTCTCCTCATCTGCACTCCACAGCAGCTGTGGAGAAGGGACAGTCACTGGGAGTCCCCCGTCCCTGTCTGGTCAACCCACACCCTCCTTGGGCTTGTTCGTAGCAACCACATCCTCCCCACCTCAGTCATCCTGCTCTGGGGCGGTTGGTCCTGAATACACGATGGCTCACACAGACCCAAATGCTGGTGGGGATCCCCTGCACTCCAGCTGGGTGCCCTCTCCCTCCCCAAAGGCCACCCAGCCCACCCTGGGCTCACCCTACGAGCTGGGGAGCTGGGCTGAAAGTTGCTGGTGTTGAGGGTGAGGAGCAGCTCTCGTGCCCCCAGGTAGAGTGTCCCACCGTCCGGGCTCAGCAGCAGGGCTGTGTAGTTGGACACGCCAGGTGCCTCAAAGCGCCGCACCACCCTCTCGGCCGAGTCT